ATTTTTCTTAACGCTGTGTACCACTAATGCAAAAATAAATGCATTTTTTTAACAATATGTTTCTTTTTCTTTTTTGGTACTAAGTTTTGTTAATAAGTTTATTTGCATCAGTGAGAAGGATGATATTGCACAAAAGTTACAAATCACAACTGACTGTTGACACCACTAATTATTAACTGTTAACTCTGCAAAAAATAGCCAATAGAAAAATACGTAATCGTAAATTTTCAAGGCTAGCTTTGTTTTTAAATAAGTTGCAAGATATTTCGCATAATAATGCGTACCCCCGCTAAATTGTTCCCTTACCCCTGGGGGTACGCGTACCACACTTTGGGAAACACTGATATAAATGATTAATTTTATGTATGTTAATTTTTTGGAGCTCAATTTTAAACAGTATGTAATGTTATGTAAACATTTCTATACCCGGTGCCCTGCATACCATTAAGATGGCCCTGGTATGATTCCTTCCTCCAAAAGGAAATCATTCACCAATTTTGCCCGATGTGGCCTGCAATTGTCATCCATTAACGCGAAGTCATCTCCAATTGCTACAGCGTAAGGGACTATAATAGGTTAAAGGATCTCATCCCTATATCAGCGATGGGTTAGCTCTTCATTTCGAATGATATGGAGATCGGTGCGCCCATCAATGGAGAGGTCAGCTTAGACCCCCTTTCCCTGCCAAATCTTACATTTTCGTGCACGAAAGCAGTATTTCTTCCAGTGCCACGTCTTCTTCAGATGAAAATACGCCTATACTATCAGGATGAATAGAAAAACGGGACTCGTCAGTTAAAAGAATATTGCGCCATTCATTTGTCCTCCAGTTCCAGTGAAGGCAGTTTCGGACAGTTTGCGTCGAAACTGTGGTGCCAGTAGCCGAGGGAAGGTGTTGTTGAAGAAGAGTGGCATTCATATTTCGGTGTTTCCGAGCCGTTAACGCTAAATGAAGGTCTTCGTTTGGCGTTGTTGAAAGTCTACGCCCTTGCCCTCATCTTCGGCCTGCATTTTCAGTCTCCAAAAAACGGTTCCAGATCCTGGAAATCACACTTTGTTAAACTCTTATGGCTTCAGCTACTTCGGCTTGTGTTTTGACCCCCTCTAACCGGCCAACAACTCTCCAAGCTTCTGTTTCGGTTGAATGACATCTCACTCATCGAAACATTATTGAATGTCGATTATTCTTTTCCGCTTTGTTTTACATTAAGTTGAAAGATGAATCAAATTCGCCGCTCCTAAAGCGTCCTCTTCAACGTCAAACTCAAAATTTGCATACTGCGAAGTTTGAAAAGAAGAAAAATTTGCATTTGTGATTCTCTTCTTCCATTTTATGTACAAAAAAAAATAAAAATATTGCTTATATACCGTTATTTTATGCAAGACTTACAATATCCTTTAATTGTTTTGAGCTGTGTTTTTTATTTTCTGATGGTTGTTCTAAGAGTTAAAGCAATTAATTGGCGTTCGTCTCTCGGTTCGGAGCGTAATAAAATAAATAATAAAATATAAAAATATATAAATTAAATAATCTAATTACTTCTTAAATATTTGGATAACTCAAGATATGAAGGCGTATTTAATTTTCATTGCTATAATAAAGTTCATACATTGATCACTTTGTGTTTAAGTTAAAATAATAAGAAAAAACATAAATTTTCTCATTTATGAATAAGTGGCTAAAGCTGTCTTATCACTACAAAGTGATAATAGAAGTACTCTTTGAACTCTAATTTTATTGCTAAATTTTTGCGTTGCGTTCGTAATCAACACTTTCTTTATACCTTTGGCATATTTAAAAGCAAATCAGTCAAACAATTATTTGCGCAGTGAATAATAGTTCGTGAGTTGTTTAAAAACATCAAAGCAATTCTTTATATGTGATTATGCTTGAATATTTATTTTTTACGTTTTGCTTTAAAGTAACTTTTTTGTTGTTGTTATCTTTGATGACCTGTTTTAGGACTTGATGGTTTTGACTAGAACTTGAAAATGCGTGACACATTGCTGTAACGTTTATAAAACAATGTTAATAAATATTTATCAGGAAATAATTCAGCGCCATGTTTTTATTTCTGCAAAAAGAATTATACTGGTGGAAAAATTTTATTAAGAAAATTGTATTTAAATAACAAACCAAATATTGATAGAAAATTAACTTTTCAAATTATTATGTTTAGATCTAACATTTTCCCTTCATAATAAGTAATATATATGCTGCTGTCATTCATGAATAGTGCTGAATTCGGTGAGTGTTCATTGTTTGAATTATTCACTCTTTTATTTTTAACATATTTAAAAAGAATCAATTAAGTGATTTCTGTTGGCTATGAATTATTTAAATAGTTTTTTCATCGCGTTCTTTAAAAGCAACAATTTTTCAATGAAATGTTTTGATTTCGGAGTTTGATTTCAAATCATTCCGTCGACTGTGATATATATATATATATATATATATATATATATATATTGTNATCATGTTTTTAGGGCATGAATCTGAATTGAACAACCTGATAATGCTCACTCTGGTTATTGTTTCCGTTTTTAAAAGTGCTATATGTTGAGCCACCTGAGCTAGTTTTGGCATGTGACATTTTTAGCAGCCATCATTGGTCGATTTTCTAACGTTGCTATTCAGGGAGTTGTAATGAGGCTTTTTTTTTTGGTGCCGTGTAAGAGAAATATATATATGTAGATGGATTTTCTCCAATGCTAATAAATATTTTGTTAGATTAATGCTTTAAATAAATGGCAAATAGATGTTTCGCATTTTTCGGAAGATCTTATTTTTATGTTTAAAGGGTTAGCAATGTTATTTCTTACTTAAATTTCATTTTAAATTATTTCGACTGTCATTGAATATAAGCAATTAAAAAACAAAAACTCATTAATATCTAATAATATGCATATTAAAGCTGTCGGATAACCTTGAAAATAGAGTATTTATTGTAAATAGATTTTCTCGAGTGCCAATAAGTATTTTGGTAGATTAATACTTTTAATAAATGGTAAATTGATACGTACCTGCTAGCTGTTTCACAGTTTTCGGTTTACGAAACTGCCCAATCCAAACATCAATATTACATGATGAATAGGTAAAGGGCAGAAAGCAGTCCCAGGTGCTCAATTAGAACATTATGATTGTGGGGCTTGGCTACCGACAGTGTCAACCGTCTTCTATCAAAAGGTACCTCATGATAAAGTTGAGTGAATAGGTCTTTTATTAGTATATAAGATCACTAGTGTGAATAGGAATTGAATCATTTTAGTGGTAGCTAAGCTGCAATACTCCCCCAGCAGAAATAGGAGATAGAATTCAATGAATGGATATCACTGGTTGATTCATGGCAGTTTTGCAAGAGGCTGGGAGAGCTGTATTAAGATCACCGAAATTTGAGCGCTGGTGGTAAGAGCATATCTGACACTCATTGGTTTATGAGGGGACTAGAGATACTCTACTGAACAAAAATTAATTCTAACAGAAAATATTAGAGCGAGCATAATAACAAGGCTACATGCTTATGCCCATTTAAAAGTTCTTGTGATAAATAGGGAAGAAAAAAACATTTTCGTTATAAATTAGTTATTTCGCTAATACTGAAAAGATTCCTTTTCTAAAAGTATTAATGTTTGTAACTACGGTTTTAATGTACTTTATTTAATTTTGGAATTACTGATTCAACGATTAAAATAAAATTTAATTTAAAAAAAAAAAATTTGAAATAAACTCTTATATGTAACTTTTTGTTTTTTTTGTTTTTTTATATGTAACTCTTTTAATGTAACTTTTTATCGAATATTAGAATATATTTAAAAAAGTAATAGCGTTTTAAAAATTTAATTATATCGAATATTAGAACTATATTTAAAAAAATAATAGCATTTAATTCATAGGGTAGTAAACACCGTATTGTTTACCTTCAGGTAACATTGAGTAAAGCTCAAGATTGGTTATACTGTAATTATATATTATTTTTTTGCAAAATTGGCCGATGGTTAGGGAAATACACTGGTTGACAAAATTAAGAGATGGAAAGCATTTTCGCACATTCATTCGCACATGAAAGATACCCGCACACGCACACTGCTCCATGTGTTTGACAGTGGTTCCGTGAATGCCCAGAGATACAGGCAGGAGGTCCTAGAGCCCTATGTGCGTCTTTTCAGGGACGCTGTTGGTCCCTGAGTTCATTTTTACGGACGACAAAATGCGCGACCACATAGGGCTCTCATGGTTGATGAGTATCTGAAAAGAGAGGTTATTCAACGAATGGATTGGCCAGCCAAATCCCCTGACCTGAATCCTATTGAACATGCTTGGGATGCTCTTGGGAGAGCTATTGCGATGCCCCAACCTCGCCCCAGAACCATTCTGGAGTTTAAAATTGCTCTAATGGAGGAATGGGAGGGTCTTCCACAAGTCCTCCTTAACTCCCTTATTAACAGCATGCATACTCGTTGTGCATGCTGTCTGTCTGTCAGGGGTGACCATGCACCATACTAGAGGCAACACACACTGTACAAGCCTCACTTTTATTGTCATCTTTTATCCTTAAGTTCATACTACATTGGATTTATTGGTAATAGGTCCTGCCAGTGAATGGCACTTTCATTTTTGTTTTGCATACTTTATTATCATGGAATAAGCTATGTACATACCAAATTTCATTTATTTTTATTCAGTATTTTTTTAGATATTTGGGAAAATGTCTTCCATCTCTTAATTTTGTCCACCAGTGTAAATTTGAGAAAACTGTAGGAAGTAGAAATGTACAATTTGCTGTGCAAGGTCGATATTTTCCACTCCAAACTTTCTGAATCAGTTTAAAATATCTCTATCGATGGAACTCTAGACAGGCTGAACTATGAATCAATATTTTCTGCTGCGGATCAGACCAGTCCAAGTAAAAAATTTATTTAAACCTGTGTTAACTTTGTCACTAGACAACGCCGCGTTGTTGCTGTAAATACATTAAAATCATTCCTTTATGGTTTTCTTTTTGATTAAAATTGCTCTCTGTTGGAAAACGTCGTAAAACTACTCGTAATTTAATAAAATAATAGTTTCTTAAGCACAATGCACTGATCTGTACATTTTTATTTTCTTCATTTTTCGTTATTTGATTTTTCAAAGAGTTGGTCCTTTTTAGGACATTCAGTTTCAAGATAGTAAGTTACATTATTTCTTACAACCGAGTGTTAAGAAATAATTAAACTTATTATTTTGTAAATGGGAGAAGAAATTTAATTATTTCGCGATTCGTGATAAAATTTCGCGATGAATTTAAATTTTTTTTAGTTCCTTCTGAAACAGAATGCGAAATTTAACGAATCTCTATTGAGAAGATAGGACTGAAAACATCAGACCTGTTTGACAGGCCTGATAAATTAAGACGATTATTAGAAATCAATCAAACTGGTTTTAATGTTTATAATTTCACCTTCCATCGATGGCTCAGTGGATAGAGTGTTCGCCTTCCAATGAGGTGAACCGGGTTTGAATCCTAGCGATGGCTGGTCGATGCGTATTCCGCCTCCGGCTTGCACCGACCACAGTGCTGACGTGAAATATCCTCAGTGGTAGACGGATAATGGGTTAGAGTCCTTTGTGCCGATGGAGGTTCTCGTGGTCTTCTTCTCCATGCATCGCATATGCTGGTTCGTTGCATCAAAAAGCTCTCCACGAAGGCAAATTTCTCCCAATACTTGATTCAGGAGTTCTCTTGTCTTCTGGATTAGGTTCAAAATGACAAGGCTTCAGAGTTGAACATTGGTAATCGTAAACCCAAAAATTGGGTCGGCTGCTCAACGACGGTTATAAAATAAAATAAACAAATAATGATTCACCAGATTTCGATTACATTATTTTCCTCGTTTAAATATTAATTAGTGACCTTTAATGCGTTTATTTTTAAGTCTTCCTTTTTGACAAAGATTTTAAAAAATATATTTCAAGGACAGTCATTACAAAACACTCCGTATGCTATATACGTGGAAATAAAAATTGCATTTTTATTTTAGGTAATGGGCTTGGAATGCAGTTTTTTAATGTGCTTCATCGTGATATCGTTCTGCATTGCAGAAGGAGCGTTGCTGATTACAGATGAGTGCAGAGTTTATGATAGAAGTGATGAGTTTGGGAAAGCTGCGTTTTGCACACAATTCATTTCTAATCTAACTTCCTATAGCCTCCCACTTAATACCACAAGGTTACAAATCTATAGAACTTACAATTTATCGCAGACATTACCATTAGCACCCAATTTAAACATGTTGACGACGCTTGAGCTTCCTAACGATAACCTTGTCAATGTTTCTAGTGGAATGTTTGAAGGATTGTACAATCTCACAGTATTATCATTGGCTAACAACAGAATTCTGAAATTGCCGGAAGGTTTGTTTAAAAATAATTTATACATCTCAAGAATTGATCTAACGCGAAACTATCTTTTGTCATTTGAAGCATGTACTGTCGCTCTAAAAAATTTAAAATACCTCACAGATATAAATTTATCTGGCAACAAATTACTGAGAAATATTTTTCAAACTGAAACTGATGTTCTAGGAGAATTGACCATACAGAAGCTGGACATATCAGATTGCGCGATAGAGGTAATTGAAATAGCGGCTTTTGAAAATTTTCACTCTCTCAGTTTCTTAGATATATCTATGAATCCGCTAAGTGAAAAGGCAATGAAAAATTTAAGCCAAGGTTTAAATTTATCAGCGTTGAAAGAATTCCGTGCTACAGATATGAAATTCACAGCATATTTTTCTAACTCTTTCTTAAACAGGCTGAAGTGGACGAATATTGAAAAATTAGACCTTTCTAACAACAAATTTACCAGCTTTCCTCGGGGGCATTTCCCTCACCTAAAAGAACTTATTATTAATAATTGTGTCATCAATGTTCTTATGAACGGTTCGATTTCAGACATGCCAAGATTAGAAGTACTAACAATACAAAAACACCAAATCAGCCATATTGGAAACATATTTCATAATAATAGAAATTTGATATCTTTAGATTTAAGTGAATATGTAACTTTTACGATAGTTTCAAGAGAGTCTGCGACTGTAGACATGACCATTGAAGACTACTCGTTTAAATATTTGAAGAATTTGGAAACTTTGATTTTGAGAAAAACCCCTCTGAGGGGAGTTTTGAGACGCTTCATGCTGTTTGGTTTGACGAATCTTACAAAATTAGATTTTTTTAACTGTGCCTTTGAATCCATACAAGAAAATGCATTTGAGACTTTAAGCAGTTTGAGGTCGCTTGATTTATCATTTAATATAATCTTTGAACTACCTGATAAAGCGTTCTATGGCCTTAAAAATTTAAAAAATTTAGATCTGTCGCGAAATAGGCTGACATTTTTGAAATCAAGCGAACTTTTAAATCACACTCCAAAACTTGAACTGCTGAATCTCAACAGAAATAAAATTCAAAGTTTATCGATAAAAATGTTTTCCAAACTTCATTCAATCGAAATGATACAGGTCTCTGAGAATCAGATTCAACCATGGAATAAAAAACTTTTTCAAAATAACCCGAACTTAACAATTTTTATTTTTTCCGAAAATTATGTGAACTATTTTACTCGTGAAATGCTTCAAGATATAAGCTATTTAACACATGTTGATTTTTCGAAAAATCCATTTGATTGTTCTTTTTGTTCTACCGTTGAACTGCAATCCTGGATGAACGATACCAACGTAACAATATCGAATCTTCAGCGCGAATTACATAGTTATGATTGCTATTCACCCGAATCATTAAAAGAACAGTCTTTAATGGATGTTAATTTATCAGATCTTGAACTAAAGTGTGTTCCATACATTTTCGATTTTATAATGTTTGCATATTCTTTAATTTCATGCTGCATTTTCATTACATTCATTGTAGTCGCTGTTTGGTATAAATGGAAATGGAACATCAGATATATAGCATTCAGATTAAGAACAAGAACGAAACGATTCAAAGAAAATGTCAAGCGATTTGAGTTTGACGCTTTCGTGAGCTATTGTGAAAAGGATTTCCCGTGGGTGATAAACCAACTTATACCTGCTATTGAAGAAAATGATCCTAATATAGTATTATGTTTGCTTGATCGCGATTTATGTGCCGGGAACTCCATATTTGACAGCATCAACTCTGCGGTTGAGCAAAGTCGAACTACTATTCTTGTACTCAGCAACGCGTATATGAATTCCAACTGGAACGTTTTTGAAACTCAAATTGCACAGAGCAAACTTTTTGAAGACATGAGAGGTGGCTTAATTCTGATTTTTCTTGAGCCAATACAAAAATTGGAAATCACGAAGAATCTCCGTTACGTTATTAAAACTAGAACGTGTTTGCAATGGACAAAAAATGCTACTGGTCAAAAACTTTTTTGGGAAAGGTTAAAAATGGCGATAAAGAAACCAGAAGATAAAGGCATATCAACTCACATTACTTGAAATAAATATAAGAAATATAAATACTGTGTTCACTGAGTGTTTAGATCTTTTAAATCTAAATTTATGCAGGAAACAATAATAGGCCTTCCTGATAGCTGAGGTATAATTCGTATCAATCAGTCTAAAACTTCAAAGAGAATGCATTATATGAAAGCTGGTGGTGCAGAGACTACATAAGAGTACAATGTGTGATAGCCTCAAATCTGTTCCTACATAAGGTTCACTATATTGATGCATTTTGGTTTTGAGATCAATTTTTGAATACATTAAAAAAAAAGGAAACATTGTTTTTCAATGATTAATGGAGCCATTTAGTACAATTATGGTGCAATAAAAAAGTTTTCAAAAGATTTCGTTTTTGTAAATTTTAAGTTACTTATAGACACATGCTTATTTCCTTTATTAGTGGATAGCAATTTTTACTCGCATAGTAATTTTCTTTGCAGGTGAATTAGCTTTAAACAAGCCTTACAAACTGATGTGTTTGTGTGATTTCTATTTAAACACTTTCAGTAGTGTAATCATTCAAAAATGGATAAATTATTTCATAGAAAATATACTTACACCATTTTTGCATGCAACGGCTCAATTGTATTGTGTTAGGCAGGTCGCGCTGGAAACAGCAAATACTTAAATTCGAATGGCATGTCTGTGGGGATCATTGGGAAACGCGGTAACAGAACATCTTCTCCTTTATTTTTGCCATTTATAATGTTAACTCGAAGATATTGGTCATCATTCTTTTCATTGAAAAGCTCGTAGTTGCTAAGTCTAGGTGGATTGATGTTTCGGAGAAAAATGATAGATATGCCAATTTTCAATGTTAATACGTGCGGCAAATCAAGTGAATTCAGAAATTCATTTGAGTAGTTGACAACCTCGTTCTGATCTATTACAGTGTCGATGAACTTATATGTTCCTGCATTTCTTTTAGACTCTGATTATTGATGTCCTACACGGTACATTGTTTGGCTGCTAATATAGCCCTCTCACTGAAGATACAAAAATTTCGCGCGATTTTTGGGAAAACGTTGTGAATAATGGTTGAAATAATTTTATTGGAGTCTGTTGGCATTTCATTCTGAATGCTTGTTTTTTTCTGTCTTTTTAAAAATAAATAAGCGAATAACCTTTCGGGGTTACTTGAATTGTTCAGTTTTAACTTTATGTAAAATATAAGAATTTTCATTGAAAATTGCATTTATTAAGTAAATATTTATTTAAAATACGTCCTTTAAATAACATTTAATAATTTATTTAACAATTTTGAGTGTTTGTGTGACATAAAACCAAGTAAATAAAGGCAAGAGATAGGCTGAATAAATGTTCGCCAAATTTTATCTCAGAACCGCCAAATTTTATATTTACTTTTAAGTAGTATCTCCGTGCTTTTAATTATATTTCAATTTGATTCACTAATAGGTAAGTCGATGTAACGGATTATCCTAGATGAGGTTAGCGTCGTTTATAGCCATAAGTTGCTCAATCTTGTAACTCGTCCGCATTTGTGAAAGTTTTTGCTCCGAAATGGCGTTGGACTAGCTAACTCAGGGGCCTTAATCTGCATAGCGAATAAAAAATAATTAAATTCGCTATCGCAGCGAACAATAGGGGGCGTTGTTGTATGAAACGAATACCTGTGATTTCTATATAAACAATCACTCAGTTACTCTGGAGACGTCTTTAATTTAGCATGTCGCATTGTAACGCTCCTTCTTTATAGTGGCTTATTAAATTTAAAAAAGAAAAATGTTTGATATTCTTCCTTATGGAAAAGAAAACAAAATGGTACAGTAAAACTTGTGTAAGTTGACCACTTGTGGTGCATTGTTTTAGTGGTCAACTTAGACAAGTGGTCAACTTATAGAGGGGGAGGGTCATTGTTTACTTTTTCTTTTCCTATATCATGTTGCTATATATTGAAATTTTTTTTTACTTGACTTAAAAATTTTATTCAGAAAATATGCAAATGAATATGTTAAGAAATGTGTTTAAACCTGAATGAACTTCAATTTGATACATGTAATTCTAATATTTAACTAATTTTTAAAAAAAAAATTATTTGGTTAGTTATGCATGTGAAGTGTTTAATAAATATAATTTCTTAAAATATCAGAACACGAAAACATGTAATTTGAAAATCTTTCACAAAATAAAACTATTTGGACACTTTAAAATTTATTTACTACACAAAGATTCAGAGTATTCATTTATTCAAATGCTCACTATTGCAACAGGAAGAGCAACTTTTCAACTAACACACCTGTTTTCAATGAACGGATGAAAGAAATGGTAAAAAGCTGACTCCTTACAGTTTCCCCTGATGGTCAACTCACAAAAGGGTTTAGATTAGTTTTTTACACTATTTCACCAAACAAGTGAAATTTTAACATACATTACCAAAATG